CTTGCCAGGAGCTGTGCGGCCCCCGGTAGGGGAGTGGGACCAGCCCTGAGGTCTGGGAGGAGGCTGGCTGAGGCGGCCACCTCAGGGGGAGAGGGGCACAGAACCCCTCGAAGTCGGGTGCGGGGGCCAGACCCCTGGCCGGGGAGCACGGGGCCCAGAGGCCCTAGGCAGGCGCAGCGGGCGCAGACTCTGGGGGAGGGTTCTGGGCGCCACCATGGGGGTGGGGTGCTCGCCGCACCCTGCGGGCCTGGAAGCGGGGGCGCCCACCCAGGGCTGGGCCGTGAGCAGCCGGGCACCAAAGCCAGGGGCCTGCCGCGTCCAGGGCCGTGTCCGCACCGCCCAGCGGCCGGGCCACGCTCCCCTCCCTCCCCCCGGTGCTCGGCTCCGCCACGCTCTTCAGCCGTGGACCTTGGGTGTGGGTGTAGCCTCTGCCTGGTTTCCTGGGCTGTCGGGCGGGGGCAATCGCGGTGCCAGCCTGGCCCTTTCGCGGGGACTCGGAGAGCCGTGGGGGAGTCGGCGCAGCGCGGGCCCGGGGACAGCCCCGACACCGCGCCGACGCCGGGCCCGCGGGCTCCCGGCCACGCCGGGCATCTGGTCTCAGGTTTGGCGCCCGAATGCCCGGTGGCGTGGGGCGAGCCCGTGGAAGCGGCTGACCGGCCCGTTCCTGTCTTCGCAGTCTTTGAGGAGCCCGAGGACCCCAGTAACCGCTCCTTCTTCTCGGAGATCATCTCCTCCGTGTCGGACGTCAAGTTCAGCCACAGTGGCCGGTACATGCTCACCCGGGATTACCTCACGGTCAAGGTCTGGGACCTGAACATGGAGGCGCGGCCCATAGAAACCTACCAGGTGGGCGCGGCCGGGGCCGGGAGCCCCGCAGGCTGGGGCCCCTCAGGGGGGCTGGGGCGGGGTGGCGGCCGTTTGCAGGTGAAGACGCCGGGCTCGGCGCGTGAAGAAGCTCAGGGGGGCCGGGCAGCAGGATGAGCCTCCTGGGGCCGCGCCTGCACCTTGCCACCGAGACCAGCCGCTTCCCCGCCCCCCAGCCCCTGCTGGGAGAGCGTCGGGGTGCGGGCAGTGGTGGGGTGGGGCCTGGTGTGCCCGGAGTCCTGGGCGCAGCCTCAGGCCCCGGTCAGACCGGCCGATGCCTTTCCAGAAAGCCGTCACTTTCCCACTCATCCCGGCCTGGGGCTGGGCCAGGTTCAGGGGGTCACCGCGGCGGGACGTGGAAGAAAGAGGGGCGGCTTTAGAGCTGGCCCCGGTTCCAGGTCCAGCAGGGAGGCCTGGGGGTTCTGGGGGAGGCGGCCAGCCTGATCCTGGCGGGGTGAGCAGGACCGTTGCGCAGGCGTGAGTGGGGCCCCCACACCCCAGCGACGCCTCACGGCGCCTCCTGTATGGGGTGCGCGCCGCTGAATGCCGCCAGGCTCCTCGTGGCCCGAGGGCGGCGCAGCCCACGCGGTGCCGAGGAAGCTGGCGCT